CCCCGTGTTAGACTAGATAGAGAAGCAAAGAAAGCGGAACCGTGCTGCCCAGCGCGGCCCTCCTTCTCCAGCCTGCGCCCTCCCGCGCCTCCCAGAATCCCGCCTGGGTAAGCACTAGTTCACCAACACCAGCGTTTAACAAAAAAAAACAGCCTAAACTGGGCCTGCACCCCCAAATCCTCAAAAAAACCTTGCCCCACGTTGTAAGTGTTGAGTCGGCCTCAGTTTTGAAGTGACTCCGGGAATGCCGTCCCTGCTGGGAGCCGCACGCCAGTGAAAGGCGGGGAAACACCAGGATAACAGAAATCACGTGAGGCGACAGCAGGCTCCCCAAAAACATCCCGCCCACCGCTAACCCGCATTCATTAGTTTTCGTAAAACAGTTAGGAGACGGGCTCTTGCTGGCCCTCGTTTAAGTCACTGCGTAATTCAGCGCTGTGGCCACGCTCATCGCGCTGACTGCAACACCCTAAGCGCTCTAGTGGGGCATCGTTTCCACCTCGACACGCACCACCAGCAGTTTTAGTTTTTCTAAGGAAAAAAGTCAGAGTAGCATTTTTACAAACAGCTTTGCAGAGTTACCTTTCGCACCTCCCACAACTCACCCAAAACTGAGGGACAGCTATGATCTCCGTCTAATTCTCAATCAAAACACACACCCAAGACAGACATTTATTGTTGGCAATAATTCTGCTTACTTTACATATAAAATAGGAGTTCAGATGTTTTCCATCATCGTGTTTTCATACTAAATATGTCAATAGTTCAAACAATATTTTTTATTTTAAGCTGCACAACATGGGATAGCAAATCTCAAAAGTGAGATATTCTTACCCAAGTAATGATTTATAAAATGCATTTGTAGGTCATTGCCATAGTGAAAATATGCTTAGGGCATTTATGAATAACACTTTTAAAGATTTTTTTCTTAAGGCAGAGTGGATGATTTCAAAACAAGTATTTTATTTAGTATTGTGACTGTCCTGACTTAATCGAGCCGCAAACTCTACGAGCGTTCTTGTAGGCCGCCCTGCCATGCCTTTTCGAAGATAGGGCACTTCATCTTTATTTGACATCACACCAGCTATATCTAAATGAGCCCAGTGAGAGGCAGTCACAAATTCCTTCAGGAATGCAGCAGCTGTGCACGCTCCGCCAGCTCTGTGGAAAGCAGAAAAATTGTACTGTTTCTAAAGCAACACCACCAGCATAAACATCAAACAAACACACTGAAAGAAAGGGGCACGTGAAGGACACTGGGTACATCTTACCTGCTGTACTTGCCAATGTTACTCAGATCTGCAAGAGGGCAGTCTGTCACTTGTTTTGTGTAATGTTCAAAAAGAGGCATTCTCCAAACTCTATCTCCTGTCAAAATGCTGGCCTGAAAAAGAAACAGTGATAGTTTGGGCAAAGTTGTTTGTTGTGGTTTTAAAAAAACCAACAACAACAACAAAAACACCTGCATTTATAAGCCCCAGTATCATGGCGTGCTTATTTTTTTTTTAACTTTGATTAGTTTAAAAATCTTTAGCCCAATATAATATTAGGTATTTGGAAATACACTGCAAAACAAAACAGTGAATCGTACTTTTTAGGTACTTCAGTGTTAGTCAAAAGGCAAAATCTAAAGACTGCCTTTTTTTTTTTTTCCAATTTTTTTTTCCCTGACAACACAAATCCTTCCTTCAGACTTCCTTTAGCCATCACACTTCAGCCACTCACAAGGCCACTCTGAGTTTCTGTCTCAGTGTTGTTATGCAAGATCAATTATATTTTTAATATGAAATAATTACTGTCAGTAGTCCAGAGCTTATGCATACGCAGTTATCAGAAGACACGGATCCTTAAGATGATGTGCATGCTGTTTGCTGTATGATACTAAATCTCACTAAAGAGCTAACAATTAATAGTCAAAATTAATTATTTTCAATTAAATACAGTACTAACCATTCCTACGAGATTTCAATTTGTTAATAACATACCTTTTAGATTTGCATAAAGTAATGCACTAACTTTTCAATAACAACAGCTATTACTGAATTATTATTATGATTTAATAATAATGCAGATGGCCTACCTCATAAAGGTGAGTCCAAAGCCAAGATGAGTTTGTGAACACTCCAGTCGCAGCAGATCCCAATGCAACATCCATGGCACCTACAGAAACATACATTGAAGGTTATACAACAAAGGCCAAGGTGGACCTGAGCTATTCCTCCTGACCCCTCAACAGAACTTTTCATTTTTAATTCCCATTATCAGTAATTTCTAAAATCTGCAAAACCTAAAGATTTTAGTACATTTGCATTTTTAAAAGTTTAAACATTGTTAAAACATTTATGTAATCTAGTATGACAAGAATTCATAAAAATTTTATTCTGTATCTCATCAAACTAGATTTTCTGTTTTCAGCTTGATGTTTCTAAGCAATATTTCTAATATAATGTATTCAGCAATAACAGTGTCTTCTAAAAAAAAAAAAAAATCTAAATTTTATTGTTTCCACACAGGAAATATAAGTGAGTGGACTTTTTCCAATTTATAGACCTCTACAATTTGGAGCTGATACTTTCCCTTTCATGAATTTCACTTGCACAGATTTTTGCAAAGCATATGTGAATTTACTTTAAATTAAAATAATCCTTATCAAAATACTAAACCAATCCTAAACCAGAGGGATTACATACATATTTATTTATTCGATGCCACAGGACTGCTTCTCTAATGCAAACACTCAATCCTCAGGGAGATTTAAAAAAAAAAAAAAAGTAGTTTAACAAAATTACATGTCAAAGAAATTTTTCCAGGAGGTCTCCTCCTTCCTGCTTGGTGCCCAAGGATCCAAAACACAGAATAATCTAGAGTGGGAGTAAACTCCTCCTTCTATCGTGCTCTTTATATGGGAATCATTTTATAAAAGCCAATTATCTTAAAATCGTCTTCTCTTCTGTCTATTGAAATTTTCCACAGCATGTGGATGGAATATAATTTAAAGCACTAGTAGAGAACATAGAAAGGTGATTATTTTGCTTAGCATATGCATTAAGCAACACATTGGACTCCTGTCTGAACTACTCTTCCATGCTTGCTCTCGTTTCAGCTACAGTCACTTTGCCCATGACAGCTTGTTACTGCAGCTCATGAGATGCATACACAATGGTTTTAAATTTAAAATTATAACCTCATTCATGTACAACTGCAGAGATGAAACAATTAAAGCACATTTTATTACGCCTGAAAGTATGCAACTACAGATAAGAGATACTTCAGTCAAACGAATTCCTAGGAAGATGACAACAAGTCTCCTATCACATAGAGTCACGGAGACCTGAGCTAGCTCCCACAATGGAAGAACTGGGGCTGGCTGGGTCAGAGCTCAGGCACTCAGGAAGCTGTCCACAAAGAAGCTACTTTGGCTCCAGCATGGCCAGTGCCAGATGGACCTGGCAGGATTCGTGTACAACCACGCCAGTATCTCTGCATCACACAGCCCCGGGAGCTGGGGGGGCTTAGCTCAGAAATGGAAGCACTGGCAAACATCATGCAGAAACATCGAAGTCTGCACAAGTTTCCCTGCTCTTCTTAGTTCCAGCTCAGCTGGGCCGGCCCAACTTCATCCACATGGCTGAGTGTGTACTTTGCATGCCAGTACCCTCCCCAGTCCTAGAGACACAGTGCAACTGTACAAGTTGTTAGAGCATAAGCCACGCCAGCTGTTGTCCTACAACATGTAAAATCATCTGTTGCTTTCGAATTCAGGTTGGCTTTATATATAGTGCAGCTAATCCACAGCCCAAATAACAAGAGAAACAAAGAACTGACTTGCAAAACGAGCAGGGAAGGGAGATTATTTACCTGTCAATGTTGCAGCATTCACAATAGCTCTTGCATTAAAATTGTGGGCATAACAGAGAGCGTCAGCTAACAGCAGTCTTCCTTCTGCATCTGTGTTATCCACCTTCAGGTGCAAAATCAGTAAAAATAGATTAACTACTGAAAATAACCCTTTCACTGACTTATTTCTTACCTATCATCTTAAATAGCTGTCAGATTGTGAACAGTCACAGACCCTAGGAACTTAAGGTAAGCAAAATTTACTCAAAACAATAGTATTGGTATACAGTTATGTTTCTAAAATAAACGCATATCTGTAGCTGAGGTCAAGTCACCTTTCAGCACTGTAACCTCCTCTGCATGCTGGGCCTCTGTGCCGCTGGATCCTCACAAGAGGCTGGAGAGGGGCCCCAATGGAGCACAGGAGGCTGGTTACCATTCCCAGCAAAGCCCCAGGAATCCCAGCAGCTATTTCTGAGGAAGCACAGAGATCTGGCCCATGGAAACTGCGAAGGAGGAGAGGGTACCACAAAGAAGCACAGATGCATGCCTGGAAACAGCTTCTCGTTATACTGCTTTCCCTGTGGATCTTGAAACTTTTTCCCCCAAAAAAAAAAAAAAAAAAAAAAAAAAAAATCAATAGCCCCTTTGCTCCTTTCCCCTTTCAGGGAAATTTCATGATTAATTCTGCAAGATTAATTGCATTATGTGCTCTGAGCTACTAGCACTTTCTTGCAAATTTCTTCTTGGTGGAGGAATATGTGCCCAGTCAAATATGTGCCCTCAAAGCAGAGGGCAACAGAACTCAGTTTTGGGAGAACCACCTCAAGGAACCGGAACATTCAACAAGTCAAAAGGTGGTAAAATCAAAGAAATCCAGACAGAGTTAAATATTAAGTCATCTACTTCTGCACAAAATCAGTGGTCTACAGCACAATGACTTTCAGTACCACTTAATCTATTAGATGAGTATGGAACAGTTTGGATTCAATATGACATAATGTATTTTGGGATGGATTTGGCAAGCTCCTTTGAACTGACAGGCCCTATGACTCAAAGTTCTGATTGTACAGAGCAGCTCGGCAGGGTAAAGACCTTGGTTATGTCAGCCAGGAAACTAATACTCTTTATGTCTTACTCCACATAACAGGGAAGTGTCCCGAAGGGTCTGCTGGAAGGAACGAGTACATTATCCATTCTGAGAACCTGTATTTATGAGCATTGTAACAACCTCTGGTGCTAAAACAAGACTTTCTAGCATGTTCAGTAAATGACCATACTGTTCAGCTTCTCCTAACAATTTATAAAACATGTCTAATATCATCAATCTATATTTGTATTTGTAAGAATCCTATGATAGCATTTTCTAATAACATGCTGCTTACATTTTTAAAAACAGTACATTTGCACTGCTTATCTTTTAAAGGGTCTTTTCAAACACATACTCTTGACTGCAGTCATGTAACTTGACTGATTAAACCAATCCACTAAAAGTATTCAAAATCCAGGTTTTCCATACCTACCTGTATTGTTTTTCCATTCTTGGCTCTAACTACATCTCCAGGCTTGTTTGCCTTACCACTGGGCATATTTTCACAGAGGGGTGCCAAACCTCAGAGATAAAAGGAAAAGTGCATTACTTGCATTACTAGTTTCTTTCTCAGAAAAGATGTCGAAAAAACACTTAGAAAAAACTCAAACACCTCCTTAAAAAAACAATACCTATTCTCACCTTGAATTCATGACTAAAATCGCATTTCTCTTGGTTACTGAAAGACACACAGTCCAGTTTTCAACCAGGGAAATTTCTCTCATGTTGGACCATCACATTCTCTCACCTACACCATTTTACCACTCGATTTGCTTCTACTTTATGCCCGGACAAGTGAGATCAGAGGAGCAACAAATATCATCTTATATCTTCCGTTTATGAATAATTAGTCCCATGTAAAGGGATTTCTTTCTTTCTGAAATTAAAAACTTCTCAGAATAACACTCAGCCATTCAAACTCTGCTCATTGTAAATAAACACTGTGTAATGTCAAGAGGGGTTCAAGGACTCGCCATAGAACTCCAACCATTGGAAGAGCAAATAAAGATGAGCAAAAAAGAGGTCAGTGTCAAAACTCCAGCTATAAACAGGGCAGTGGGATGAAAGGCAATCCACCATTCCTAGGGAAAACCTGCTCCTGGCACAAGGGATAAGCGAATCGTGGACCACCACTTTTCAGTGGAATTATGTACACAGGCTTTTGCTCCACGGATTCACCCTCCCCGTGGC